TCAAAATAGGATATCATGAGGTGATTTTTCCAAATCAGTTGAAACAAACCTAAGATAACATGGTGTACAGCTGGAGGAACACAGCAGGCCAGGCTGCATCAGAGGAGCAGGAAAGCTGACGTTTCAGGTCTGGACCCTTCTTCAGAAATGGGGGAGGGGAAGGGGGCTCTGAAATAAATAGAGAGAGGGGGTGCAGTGATAGAAGGTGGATAGTGGAGCAGATTGGTGGAGAGAAGACGGACAGGTCAAGGAGGCGGGGATGAAGCTAGTAAAGGTGAGTGTAGGTAGGTAGTTGGGATGGGGGTTGGTCAGTGAGGTGGGAGGGGCGGGTAGGTGGGAGGGAAGACAGACAGGTCAATGAGGTGGGGATTAGAGGGAGGGCTAGTCTTCGGATGAGGTTGGGGGTGGGGAGATTTTGAAGCTTGTAAATTTCCACATTGAGACCATTGGGTTGTAGGGTTCCAAGGCGGAATATGAGGTGCTGTTCCTCCAGTTTTCGGGTGGCATCGTTGTGACACTGGAGGAGGCCCAGGACGGACATGTCGTTCAGGGAGTGGGAAGGGGAGTTGAATTGGTTCGCGATTGGGAGGTGTTGTCATTTGTCTCGAACCAAGTGTAGGTGTTCCACAAAGTGGTCTCCAAGCCTCCGTTTGGTCTCCCTGATGTAGAGGAGGCCACATCGGGAACAGCAGATGCAATAGACCACATTAGCGGAAGTGCAGGTGAAAGGTTTTCTTGGGGCCTGGGATGGGGGTGAGGGGGGAGGTGTAGGGGCAGATGTAGCACTTCCTGCGGTTGCAGGGAAAAGTGCCGGGGGTGGTGAGGCTAGTGGGGAGTGTGGAGTGGACGGGGAGTCACGGAGAGAGCGGTCCTTCCGGAAGGCAAATAAGGGTGGGGAGGGAAATATATCCTTCGTAGTGGGGTCAGATTGCAGTTGGCGGAAGTGGCAGATAATGATGCATTGAATCTGGAGGTTAATGGGGCGATACATGAGGACAAGGGGAATTGTGTCTTTGTCTTTATTGCGGGGAGGGGGATGTGAGGGAAATGCGAGAGATGCGGTAGAGGGCGTTTTCAACCACTACTGGGGGAGAAATTGCTGTCCTCGAAAAATAAGGACATCTGGGATGTCCGGGAGTGGAATGCCTCATCTTGGGAGCAGGTGCAGCGGAGGCAGAGGAATTGGGAATAGGGGATCGCATTCTTGCAGGAAGGTGGGTAAGAGGAGGTGTATTTGAGGTAGCTGTGGGAGTCGGTGGGCAAACAGACCTAGACCTCATTGAACTAAGTTAAAGGGCAACAGTCCCTTCAGGTGCACTCTCACAAAAATCAAATGTTCAAGCTAAACTTCAATTAAAATGTTATCCTGTTGGGGGTTATCTAGCCAGTGTGCTGCCCACCAGCCATGAAACACATCATTCACATATGATGACCACTCACTGCCTGGATCTGGGTACAGTCACTTTGACCAGGAGTACAGTCACGAGGAGTTTGCCAAATTTTTCCCTCCATGCTCCTCCTCCCACCCCCAGAACCAGCTAGCCAAAGATTGGGAGTGCGCGGTTGAATGAGAAATAAAACTGGAGTAGCAGTTCCCTCAAAGTGGGGCAGCAGCTATCGTCTCACAAATGGAACGTCAATGCAGAAGGCAAGGTTGTAGCCTGTCGCTGTAGGAGACAGTGAAGTGTCAATGTGAAAAGGTGGGTACATTCAGTCATACAACACAATGCTGCAACAACTTCAAAGATTGTGCACATACCTCCAACATACCCAACAAACATGGTGAGCAACTATCAAGATGATGTTGCAATCCTTCAGGATGTTGCAGATTTTAAAACTTTAAATCACATTTTCTTAATTTTGCTTTTCTTCTTTCACTCTCTCATAATCCAATCATTCTTCCCCTCTCGTTATTTCTCTTTCTGGAACTGATTGACATCTCCTTTAATTCAGCTTCCTTCTCAGTCTGTGGCCTTCCATCTCATTGCTGAACAAGATACCAGATGCCCTGTTACCCTCACTGCAACATGATCAGATCTGGGCTCTTGTGGCACAGTTGTAGCATCCCTGCATCTGGATCAGGCGGCCTGAGTTCAAGTCCCACTTGTTCAGAGGTGTAATAATATCTCTGAACAGGTTGGTTAGAAAATATCTATACTTACAAGCGATGCTAAATCTAAACAAGCCTAGCAGCACCCACCAAAAGAAGTCTGGTTCCTGCAAACTTCATCATGTGACATTGCGAGTTTGTACATGTCCAGAGGGAACAATCAGTAAGGAAATGAAAAAGTGAGGTGAAATGGGCAGAAGGTTGTCTGCTTTGGTTCTGGAGTTCTCTGAATTCACCCTTGTCCATTGTATTCATGTCAATGATTTCCCCTTTGAAGGAACTGAAAAGTCTTTGCATTACAAGGTTTTTGTCCCACAATAAGGTACTCTGACCAGATGCTTCCTCTCGTTAGCTGCATCTTGTTCAGCATATAGTGTCGAAAAGTTGGGGGTAGTCATACTTCAGCCTACAGATGAGAGCATTTATGTATATCACTACATACGCACACCCTGCAGCTGGATTCTGTTTCTAATATTTTGGGGTTGAAACCCTTTAGGTATATCAGCATTAACATTTACAGCCAAACGTTGTTGTTGTAAAACACACTCTTACATAGATGCATAGATAAGTGTGGAGCTGGAGGAACACAGCAGGCCAGGCAGCATCAGAGGAGCAGGAAAGTTGACGTTTTGGGTCAGGACCCTTTGCATGACAAGATTCAAGAGGATTCTTAAGTACTCTGAATGGGAGGCCAAGACATGTATATATTTGCCTACCTATGTGAGAAAAACATAGGGAATAGATTTACGTGGCTGATTTGTTCATGCCTCTAAACTTCTTCCTTAATTGCAGCCTGGTCCTTTGTGATGAGACAAGCCATATGACGTGGACTCCTACATCTTCAATAAAATGTGTCTGACTCCCTGTGCGGAAGGTAATTAGTACTGCCAAGCAGTCCCGTTTATCTTAACACAGTGTGGAGCTGAAGGAACACAGCAGGCCAGGCAGCATCAGAGGAGCAGGAAAGTTGACG